CTGGAAAAAGGTAAGGATTTTTAGCAAACTCTCACTTTCCATTGACTTTTATACCATTTGTGCCATGATCAAAATAGTTTTGCAGCTCAGCATTTCCAGTGACAAATTTATGGGTAAATCTACTCATTACGTAAGGAAAATAGTGTCCCTATTTATATTCAACCTGAATTTAAACCAACAGGTTATACACAAGTCCATATACAGTGATAGCTTCTGCTGTGTTCTTGGAGATGTTGACAACAGTTAATTGCCTTAACTGCTAGAAAATAAAGCTGAGAAACTAGAGCAACCATTTTACATTAAAACGGCTTTAATATATTTAGAGTGTAAACCTACATTTCAACTAAATCCCCAAAATATGAAGTCTCTAGAGGTGACAGTTTCCTCTATATTCACTATATACATAGATAAAACAAACCACAACTATCATATTGCCAAGATAATTTATTAAATGTGCCAACAGGAACAGATACAGAGAGCAGGAATCTTAAGCATTCTATCAGACCACTTAGCAGTACTGCAGTGATGTAAGATACGCACCTTATTAAAAAGGAACATCACTACTACCACTATATCTGGAATCTAGCACCTAGATTGCTCAGGAAGTTTTTACTAGTAGTCACAAAACCTACCACTAAAGAGTAGCTAACAGCATAAAACTGCTTTTATTTAAAAACCATAACTTACCATTTCACACTAGCAACACCCTGTATTTTAAAAAAAAGTAGCCTAAACTTTCATGTTATCATGAGAATTTCCCAGGCCTGCTTTAAATCTTAATGTTGATGTAACCAAAATAACCATCAACAATTACCCTAAACATCATACAAAAAAAAAAACCCTCTCAAGACAGACATTTACTGTCTCCAACAAATGCTCCAGAATTTACTAAGAATGCATCTGCCTAATGACTACCACCAAAGAGCAAGCTATTACACTGATGGACTTCTGGTTTATATAAATTATTATACATTGAATAAACAATAAACAATAATCACCATCTATTCAATTTTTATCGTGTACCATGCATGAGCTAAGTACTTTACAAACATAACATATAATCCTCAAACTGCCAGATTAGCCCCCTTTTATAGATGAAAAAACTAAGGATCAACCTGCCCAAAGACTCACCGCGGAAGCAGGCAAATCTAAGCTTGGCTGGCTCCCAAGCCCATGCATGCTCCCTGCATTGTACCACACTGATTTCTATTCCTCTAGCCTGGGGGGGGGGGGGTTCAGCCTACAAATCCAAATTATATGGACGGTAAGCAAAGGGCCATACCTTTCATAATTCACAATATAGCAATATCATAGATGTCAGACATCCTATTATGGTCTTATGTTTTTAAAAATTAGAACAAAGGAGACGGTACTATGACACAAATCCTCCCATTTCTAAAGGTATGCATCTCTATGCATCACTTAACATAGAGAAGATCCACCCACCATCGCTAAGAGTAACAAGTCACATCTTATGAAAATTTAAAAACTTGTTTCCTTTAGAAATGAACTTCCAGTCATGCCACCACAATAAATAATCTTGAAATTGGCTATAAACCAACTTATCATAGTATTCTAGGGTTCATAGTTTCTTCTGGCAGGATGGGACACATTCAAAAGTAGACATCTTCAAAGGTCTGATCCAGATTAGAAAATCTAAAGCTTCCAAAATGGTACATCCAACCCTCAAATGGTCATGCAAGCAGGTGGTTCCAATTCAGTATGGTAAGTCAAATTCACAGAAAATCCTCCAATTTCACTTTAAACAAGTGACTTTAACTAGAGCTCAGTTCTTTACCTCAGTTCTGTTCACCTATTAATTAAGACAACAAAAGAATATACCAGAATCTCAAAGACTTCTGAGATAAATTTAATAGGCTTTCCAAACAAGAAGGAAACCCTTTGCTTTAGAAGGAAGGCAAGCCCTTAAAGGTAAATCTGACTAGTTATAGTACTGCCTAATGGTTAAAGACACAAACCCTTATAGCCAAATAAATTGTATTGCCTTAAATCTTGAGGCGTGAAATGTGCCACTTAGCAGATGTGTAACTTTTGGCATGTTAACTCAATCTCAGCCTGTTTCCTCAAACATAAAATAGGAATACTCCTTACTCCAACAAGGTTACTATAAAGATTATACACGTTTAAGGTGGCAAGAAGCAATTAACTGTTGTAACTATTATTTTATTATTAAAGTCTTTGGGGGAACATAGAATCCACCCAATTTCACAAGTCCTGTTCATGGTCTTCCAAGGTTATCATATACTCTGTCATTCCAAATTTGGCCTCTCATTCCACAATTCGGAACTGAAGTAACCATTTATCAAACACAATCATCTAAGCGATCTCCAAATGTTTGCTCTTAAACATGGCAGTTCAAATATAAAAAAGGATACTGAAGATTTTACCCAAGACTGTTATCAACTAGCTACACAAGCCTGATCTACAACCTTATTTAACTGGGTTTCAGATTCATCATCCATAGCATGAGACTTCACTTAAATGGCACCTACAGTAGCTACTCTAAAACGTTGTAGTTCAATAATAAGCTTCCTAAACAAACAAAAAAACCAGGCTATCACCATTTGGCAATTCACTTCACTACTCAGAAAGATTTTATTTCCTCGATTGGAAAAAGCAAACAAAAAATTACAGACTCTCATCACAACATATTGTCCTTTCCCATAAAAGGCTTAAAGTCATTTCACTATTACTAAATGACTGAAGTCTGTATCCTCAGCCCTTGAGGTGGTTCTTCAGATCTCTGGGCCATCTATGTAGCTTATCACTTCTCCAGGTACTAAAACGGTAGAATACTTACCTTCAACTCAAGTGACAAACGAATGTGTTAAAACATTATCTGGTTATGATCCCACTGAATTACTTCCAAGAGAGTGGGCATAAGAATTAACCCTAAAACATTCCAGGTCAACATGGGGTAACGATAATCTCTTCATGAACTCAACCATAAACACATGTGTTCTGTGATTTGCACACATTCTGGGGAAAGGCTATTTAAATTTTGAGTTTAAACAAGTTGCCATTTCCTGCTTAGCATATAAAATCTATACGGGATGTAAGTACGAATTTCCCAAGAAGGTAAAGCCAATTGTTTGCTGAAAAGAGAAACTAATAATTTCTTCTCACAAGTTGTCATTTAAAGGTCTTCATTCCTTTTTTTTTTTTTTTTTCTTGTTAGGGAAAAAACAGACTTATTATAACCCAACTGTTTTGGCTGGTGTCACTAAAGAGAAACAGTTGATTCTAGAATAGTCCAACTTCTGGCGATCCAAAGAAGAGTACTCGTTGGATTTCTATCACAGAATGAAACAACTCACTGTATGGACTTCAAACACTAAAACTTGCATTTGATCAAACATATTTTGATCCAACAAATGAAGATCATATTCTTCTGGATTAGCAACAAATATTTCACTGATCTCAGTTCTTCAACACAGAGCTCCAGACTCATCCAGTGATACATCCCCCAAAGTAAAAAAGCAGAGTTTTCTGGGAAAAGGATTTTCGTATTATCAAGGAATGTGTTAGCAGTGACCTCAGTGGCACCTAAAAGATACTTACGAATTTGTATGCAGATATTCAAAGGTTAGCTGAGCTCGATTCAGACTGCTGTAATTTGTGAAAGCCATGAGTGCAGTAAGATCTCCAGTCCTTCACCCACTAACTGGGAAATATAAACTTACAATGGAATAGATTTTCCAGGATTCCTTCCAGTAAAGGTTTGGTAAGTCTGTGCTCCTTACTGTTAAACAAGGTTACCTGCTATCTATCCAAAATATATTCAAAGAGATGTCTAAAACTACAACTGATTTCTCCTTTAAGTTTTTATCTTCACAATTGTGATGCAATATTCTCGAAAAAAAAAAACCTTATAAATCTGTAGTTTTAAAGAGCTTTAGCATTAAGTTGCGATAGTTCAACGAGTTGAATGTGGTCTTGGAGTAGATGTATTGGAGTTGGGAGGTTTTATTACTGCTCCATCTTCACGTTCTTCAAGCTTTTTTTGTTGTTCCTCTAAATTTCCGATCAGAAAATTTACCAATCCGAAAATTCACCAGCTTCTGTCATAAAACTGAGCAGTCACCCATTTCTTCACCACCAACGATCCCAGGGTTCTTAAATAGGCCCCAGGCTGGTGGCCATGAAGTCGATGTAGTGCATATGGCGTTAATTCCGGCTTCACCACCTCCCAACTGAAAGGTCTCCTAAGCGATGATGACGATTCCTTTTTCCAAAGCCCAGACCCAACCTAGCTTCTGCTCCAGTCCCAATCTCCTCAGTGTGATGGGTCAAATTACCTCACACTGACCCACAAAAATGCCTCAGAATTGACCCGCCCAAATCACCTGATGAGGGCAACGCCCCTCCCCCCACTTCCCTCAGACAGAGGCCTCCGTCTCTCCGGCCCACTAGGGCCTCGCTTCCGAGGCCGCCTCCTCCTCACGGAGAAGAGTTAGTCCCAGCTTTCAAGGCTCGGGTCGAGGGCTGTGTGGAGAGCGCACAACCCCACAGGGCGTTGCCCGGTGCTCAAAGCTGCCTTTGTCCCTCCCCACGGAATTGGAACCCAACAACCGCAGCGCGCTCTTGGAACCATGTGCTGCCTCCGCCTCCGCCGCTGCCGCCGCCGCCGCGAGACCAGCCGCCCACGCGCCGCGCTGGATGAAAGGATGACAGGACTCAGCACCACGGAATTCGGCGTTTAGGGCTGCTCTGCCGCCGCTGCCGCAGCCGCTACAGCCACCTCAGCCACCGCTTTGTCTCCGATAGTGCACACAACCCGGTCCGCCTCGCGCACTCCCCGACGCCCCAAGCCCCCGAGGCCTCCGCGGCGCATTCGGCCAATCACAGAGCCGCAGCTCCTCCCGCCCCCGCCCTGATGCGACGCCTCCTGATTGGCGGGCAGCGGGCCTCCACGTGACCGGATCTTGCTAGCCGGGCCCGCCCCTGTCACGTGAGGGCGCGCGCCTCTCTTCCTGCTTTCATGACCCTCTCCGCCATTTAAAGAAACAGTACCGGGGGCGGGTCGAGCGACGCAGCCGGGACGGTAGCTGCGGCGCGGACCGGAGGAGCCATCTTGTCTCGTCGCCGGGGAGTCAGGCCCCTAACTTGAAGAAGCCCTGGCGCGCCCTCCCCCCCTCCCCGGTCTGGTAGGGCGAAGGAGCGGGCGCGCGGTCGATCGAGCGATCGGTTGGCGGCTCTTTCTCCTGCTCTGGCATCCAGCTCTTGGGGCGCAGGCCCGGCCGCCGCGGCGCGCGCCCGGTGGCCGTTGGCGCTCGCGCCGCGTCTTTCTTCTCGTACGCAGAACTCGGGCGGCGGCCTATGCGTTTGCGATTCGTCGAGGAGTCGTCCGGGTGGTCGGCGGCGGCGGGCAGCTGCTCCGCCCCGCTCCCGGGGAGGCGGCGGCGGCGGCGGCGGGATTTGGCGCGGCCGGGGAGGCAGGGGTGGCCGGGGCTGGCCTGGAGGCCTGGCGCCACCCTTCGGGGCCTGCAAGGACCCAGTTGGGGGGGCAAGAAGGCGCCGGGGGATGGTTGGTGGTGGGCTTTCTACTTTGCCTTTTCCTTCTTATGCCCCCTTAGTGAGGGGCGGGAGCACTGGCAGCAGCTCCGGGGTGGGGAGACAAGCCCCGGAGTCGGAAGAGCTGGGTTTGCTTCCGGGCCTAGCCATCAGCTGGCCGAGTGACCTTAGGCAAATCACTCTGTAATTTGTGGGCGCCTCAGTTTCCTCCTCTGCCTATCAATGTTTGTGGGGTTGAAAGCGCTTTGTAAAGTATAAAGCGTCGGTGTACGTAAGGGATGATTATTGTTTGTAATGGGGTTTTTTTGAGTTGTAAGAAAAGTTAGCAATTGCCCAGTTCTTGGATTTTGAACCTGGGAACCTTGGATTGAAGTTGGAGATACCCCAAACTCCCCGAAATTGTATGCAGAAATAGTGGGAGTGTGCATTTTGGGGGGAATGAGGATCCATCGCCAGCAAGTTATCAAAGGGGGCTGTGACCCAGAAGAGTTAAGAACTCCAATTGTTTAATGCCACAGGGAGGAAACTGAGGCCTAGATGTCATTTGGGACCCTTCACAACCGATTTGAAGCCCGTTTGAATCCCTGGGATATGTGAGCTGTTTCTATGCATAATGGATATTTGGGGTAACAACACTCCACTGCTTGGCTTCTATTCTGAGTCCTTTCTTTTTACCATAGGGTGCTTGAAGGGTGGCTGACAAGTTGGTATGGTTCAATGGCACCCCATATAAAGCAGCTAAAACCAGAAATGGGTGTGTTTTGTAGTATCAAGAAGCCTGTTGAATCTTTTGCCCAGCAATTCTTAGTGTTCTGCTGCTTATACTGGTACCTACCTTTCTCTTTCATTGACCATTTTTCACAACCATGGTTGCCATCCATTACTTGCTTCTATTTTATATCTTTTGTGCGGTTGGTAGTGAGCAGGCTTATTTTTAAATGGTGCTGCCAAGGCCAGCTAATTAATGGTGCAGGTGGATTTTTAGCAAGCTGGCTCACTGGAACAGACTAAACCAGGCATGGAATTCCCGAAGATGTTTGGGGGTTTATTTTTATTAATTGAAGGTTAACGTTCTCTGAAGAGTTTTGTGATGACTTCTGCTGAACTTCAAAATCAGTAGATTTGGAAGTGTTTCAATGCTTAGCTTTTTCCTGGCTGGCTTTGTGTTCTATTTGCTTGCAAGTGTGTTACTAAGATGGCCAAAATGCTGGTGATTGCTTCTTTGTTAATTGTCAGCTGCTTTTATCAAATTCCAGGCCATTGTCCAGCAAACACTATAGAAATGTTTGAACAGTTGGATTTCAAACATTTTCATTTTGTGGAGTGGTGCTTACCAGTGGTACAGCTCTAAGCAAGTGAACATAAACACATTTATGTGTATTTTGTCTGGTTAGGTGTTTACCTGTTTTGCTATTTCATATAAATGTCTGAGAAAATCAATTGACTGTTCCTTTTACATAAAGGGCAAAGACAAATGATCTCACTTCCAGAAAAATGACTGTTTTGGAGAAAAATGTGTTGGTCTTTTAGCTCTTTTGTTATTATCTGGATGTACCTCAAAAGAATCTTAAGACTGGCGATCTTATAAGATGCTTTTTTCAGGAGAAGGGAGAAAAAAAAAACTGGAACTCAAAGCTTGAAATTCTATGACAAAACATGAGATATCCAGGATAGGAGGCCGAAAAGGTTTCACTACCGTGTTCTGCACTAGCTGGAGCAGATGCTTTTCTGTGTAGCCACAGCATGGGCTCCAGATTGCCAGATTTTCAACATCTGGGACCTGAAGAGTGTGTCAGGATATGACAAGAACTCTGGAGCTCAATATTTTTGTTTTTGAACATGGGGGCTGTTGACCTTGCTTTGAGAAGAGACAGCAACTGAGCAAGCACTGCCACCAGCACCATTACTGGGAATTTGAAGACCTGAGTGTCTGCCAGACCTTCAGTGCAAACTCTAGCCACACTTCATCAAACGTGAACTACGGTACTTGCCATTTTCCAAAATGCCTCATTCTTTACTTACCATCTCTGCACATTTTCATGCTGTACTTTGGAGTGTACTCCTCTGGTTCTTCACCTGTCAGAACACTGCCATTTCCTCAGTCAGATGTTCTCTACTCCCTGAGTCTCCGTAACTTAAGTTGTGTATCATGTTGTTTACCTTTTAGCTATCTTTGCGTAGCATACCTTGTAAAGTAGTCATTTGCAAGTATTTGCTCTTTTTCCAGATAGCAAGCCCCTTGAAATCAAGGGCTTTGTTTTAAGGATTTTTGCCCACACGTACTACCTGCATATGATGAAGCCTTTCATAGAAAGGAGTCATTTAGAGAGTGGGCTATCGAAAGAGACTCAGTAAGCATTTGCTTAATCGCTTCGTGGTAACCTAATTACTCATGATTAGGAAAAAGATCACTGGTTATGAGTCATGTTTATTTCTGTGTTTCCTGGTGGTTTTTTGGGGTTTTTTTGTTTGTTTTCATTTTGTTTGGTTGGTGTTTTTTTTTTTTTTTCCTAAATTTTAAAAGATGTAGGGAATCCTCAGACATGAAGAGAAACTGATACATTGCATAGGGTATTAACAGAAGGGTGCAAATACCAGGGTCTTACTCTCCAGGTACCTTGTTCTTTCCCACACAAGATTGAAACTTGTTAAAATAAAAGTTAAAAACAGCTTTTAAAAGTACAAGATCATAAGATAATTTGAGGAAAGCATTGGAAAAGGAAGAAGGACAAGATCTCCTCTGGTGTTGGTGTATAAACCTAAATTCAGTTCTTCTTGTGCTACCAATGGGACTACTTTCTCCCCAGTCAGGCACTGCTCAGCAGCCTGAATACAGATTACTCCCCCAGATTATGAGATCTAGGGCAATTCTTGTTTGCTGCTTCCCTAAGACAGTTTGTTCTCAAGAGTCAGGAAGCAGTCCCTGCCAGAGAACTCTCTGTTCTTATCATTACTAATTGTTAATCAGAAAGCTTTTTTACTCCCAGTAAAATTTGTCGGTTTCTTAGCTAGGTTTATCGAGAATTAGTACCCATCTGGCAGCTGATAATGCTGACAACACACCCTAGTGTTAGAGTCCCTGTGTTTGTAATTCCATGCATTTGTTATCTTACCTGTTTTGTTCCTATCCCTTCCAGTCCTGTGCCTCCTGCTGAGTGTTCACCTGGACCTTCTGACCACCTTCCTTGTACTGTTCCATCGGCCTACAGATCTGGTACCTGGATTTTTGCCATCGGTGATTCCTTCACCTTACTGCTGAAGAAGACATCATTCCTGTGGACCAGTGTGATCCAAGAGGCATTTAGCCTTCACCTCTACTCCTGTCCTGTTCCACTCAGATTCAGCACAGCCCTTTATAGTGAAGTCAAACTGTTTAAGCCAAGTAGCTGAAGCTATTTTATCACAACGAAGGCCCAGTTTGTTCCTTGAGTGTGCATTTCATTTCTTCAGTTAAAGCCTTCAGAGACACTAAATAAATTTGGACCAGAGGATTTTTTAGTTACCAACACTGAAGAATGACAACATCTTTTCAAGAACGGCATTGGACCATACCCCACAATCTCAAATGATTGAAATTCATGAAGTGTCTAGGATCCTATCCAGGTCACTGGATCTTATTCTTTCCACTTCAAGTCTATAGTAGCCTACTGAATAGAAAGCAGATATTCTGACCAGCAGATATTGGGATTAAAACAAAGGCACAGTGAACTCACAGCATCTTTGGGATTACTCAGGAACCAGAACTTTTCACTCAAATTTAAGAAATTCTACCAAGGAAACCCTTTACCTAACAGCATCTCAAAAAGCTCCAGTCAGATTCCAGAAAAGGCCTCTTGATACTTCCAGGTAGAACCTATAATGGTAATCCCTTATGTTTATATAGCACTTTATAGTTTCAAAGCACTTTTACATGCATTAATCTCAATTATCAAAATAACACAGTAAATTGCAAACAAGGAAATGGAAATTTAAAAGGTTATCCAAGGTGATACAGCTACAAAGTGGTAGAGGTCAGGCCTTCTGACTCCCAGTCCAGTTCTCTCCATGGAATTAACTTAGCCTCTACTTCTCCTGCAGTGTTAAGATGACTGGAGATTGGTAACCCCAGAAAATTTTTCAACTTCCTGATCTGGTGCCCTTAGTCAGTCGGTATGTTGTAAGTGTAATCTTGTGATGGCTGCATCTAGACCAGAATTCCATGGCAATACCCCTAAGGTTTAAGAGCGGACTGTTCTTCATAGTGGTAGATTATTCTAGTCAACAAGGCATACTTTCATCTGATGATAAGACTGTAACGTGAAACATGAAGCTACTTTTAGATCTGTTTTTCACATGGTTTTCCTAAATTCCCAAATGGCTTAATTGACTGGAGATTCCTGTTCGTATTTTGTCCTCTTTTTTTGTTGTTGTTGTTTTCCTAAGTCTTACTAACTACTAGACATCAAGATCTTATCTATAGTCCTCTACCCCCAAACATGTACTTAACATGAGTCCTACATTTTTTTTAGAGCAGTGCTGTTCATATATGTGTGTGTATGTATATTTGATGCATACTCATATATTCATAGATTTCCCATAGTCCTTTATTGTAAAATATATGTTCCCTCCCCTGATTCAGTGTAGTGTATTAAAGGATCTCAGAAGACTTGCAACAAAGAGCCTCATTGAGCTGTTTAGCCCAGTGTGTCCTAAGTTTAATCAAACACAGAATGTTATTGTCACAGCATTCCTTTAAATGGAATGGGGAAACTGCTTTAAAGCAGTATAGCCAGTGCTTCCTGATTGCCCTGGGGACCCAGGAGTAAAGAGCATCTTTGAAGGCTGCCCCGCCCCCCCGCATTTCTTACTTTGTCAGTAACTGAATTGGCATGTCTTTGATCATCTGAGAGTCCTACATCTTGACCGTTAACTCTCTCTTTTTGATAAAGGAACTGCTAGAAGATTTGTAGGGACATACGGGAAGGCAATGGGGAAAAGTTAATGTTGCACCCCAAATTGGATGGGTTCCATGACATTTAGCAATATACTTCTCTGTTAGAATTGTGCTGTAAATCTAGCTCAAAGGCATTGAATCTCTGGTGAGGAGATTGGGAAGGGAAGAGGAGAAGGATGGAGAAAAGGGGGAGGAGGGATGAGAGGAGATATTTTCTTAGAATTTGAGTTGTGGCCCATTGAGATCATACCAGTGCTGGAAGAGAAGTCATCTAGCCATGGACTTGGGATAATATTTGCGAAGAAATGGAATGCATTTTGCAGATGTATGTTGACTGCAAAAATCCAGTGCTATCGTCACTTAAAGCCAATAGCCTGTTCTCTGATAGTCACAAACCCAATTTGAGCCATCAGAATTTATAGCAAACTTGAATGTTAACTTCATCATTCTGTAATGTGGTCCATATTAGGGAAAGAATGATTAGGAAGACTCCTTCTTGGCTTACCACAGGCTTTGCTTACAGTTTCTGGTTTCTGTGACCTATTTTTTGTATTTCAGCATTTTGTGAACAACTTATTCTTAGATCATTGGTTTCCAAAGGCTTTGTGACCATGAAGCCCTTTGGATGAAAACTGTGTGGAAGCCCAGAGTAAAAGAGAAGCTGCTGTAGATGAAGCAGGAGTGGGGGGCCTGAAACCTGCCACAAGCATCTTCCTTTACCACCATGGTGACCCATAAGGAGACTTCTTTACAACACCTAGAATTCTTCAGAACACAGTTTGAAAACCACTGCCCTAGACAACATGTGCATTCTGAATGGCATTCTGATCTGTATCTCTACCCAACCTAGTCCTTGTTCAGTTGATGCTGCACATTCTTAGGAATACTTACTGTGGGCAAAATCAGAAAAGTGCAAGAAGATGGGCATATCTTTGCCCCCCCCCCCCCCGAGTAGTCATGTGGGCTGAAAGTGGTATCAAATGGACCTAGATTAGCAGCCCTGTACCCCCAGATGGATTTCAAGTCAGTGATTCCTGGGATTCAATATAGTCAGCAATTCATGTGTACTCTGCACTGACACACCCCCTTACCCAGCTGCTTTAACAAACACCAGATGCTCTAGTGGTACTTGAAACACGTAACTTTGAAGTCTTGATCCTCCTTGGATACCTGAATCGCCAGGTATTGAAGCTGGTACTAAAGTTGATGATGCCTCATTGAGGCCATATTAGACCAACTTGTACATTGGACCTCCCATCATCAGCCATGGTACTCTACTTCGTGCGCAAGGGATAACCATTAACTATGAAAGTAGAACTGAAATTCTGGCAACATTACCTAAAAGGGTACCTAGTTATTCATCTTATTCTCAAAACTACAAGTCACTATGACTCAGCCTGTGACAGTTACACTGCTCCTTGGTTATTATTCAGTTTAACTGCTGTTTCCGGGATAAATGAGCTAATAACCTTAAAAAATTTCTTCCATCATTAGCATATCTGCTCCAAAATTATGAATACTCTGCTGTAACTACATGTAACACCTGATCCACAAGAGACTGTATGTGATTTTAATGTGATCCTTTGGAAAGTTTTCTTCTAACCAGTGAGAGGTATTCTTTTGTGATGGATCTTTTGATGTCTGGTACCATCCACTACAGGTGTTAGGGATATTTGGAGGTAGGCCTTTTGACCAGGCCATGGTAGCTTGCTTGCTGGGCATCTCAAGTTGCATATCATCATCCTTGTTGGAAATGTAGAGTGACTTGAAAATCTACACAGCCTGCAGCTAAAATTTAATCAGTACACTCAAGAGCTTCCTGCAGCTTCTTCCTAATGTTACAAGACCACAGTGTCTTGTCTCTGTGGATGTTTTCATGGAATTTCATCTGTCTCCATACTGTTGTTCTACACTGAGAGTGGCTGACATTCCTTGCTATGAGATACACCCAGGCATTAAGACACTTAATCTGTTTCTGCAGGATGGATTCAATTCATGAAATCCCAGACCAGATCATGTTAAACAAGTAGACGTCAATTTGTGTCATGAGAAAAATCTCAGTCCCTTCCTTCACAGTCTACTTAAGGGCCAGCTGTCCTCAACTGTACTCTAATGAATGCACTGGTTAAATGCTGGGAATGGTTTCTTTGTATCTTTTTTCTTATTCTCTAGACTAACCCTGATTACATGATTCTGTCTACAAATCATCAAACAAGGCCTGTGCACCCTCAACTAATAAAAATCTAATGACTAGCTTGCTTGTACATATAACTATTGTTTGTTCATAAGTTATCTACAAACTCCATTTTTTTACTACCTTCAAAACGTCAGCTCGATTTTCTCTTCTGTACTTACAGAAAAAGACACTGATCTACACTGCCAGTCATTCCCTTTAATCCTGTCAGACGCAGTCAAAATGAGGGGCTTAAGGTGAGGATGATCATCTGTTCAAGAGTCTAATGTATGCTGTGTATCAGAATTGATGGTTGAAAATGAAGAAAGCCTAAAACTCAAACCTAGGATCTTAACTGCTCTCTCCCTGCCACAGATCTCAATCTAAGTCTTTTGGCAGCAACAGCCAACCAATCTAAGGCCTTGTTTCTAAGCTGATTCTCAAGAGATGGGCAGAGTTTCAGAAGATGGAGACTTGATAACCAAAGAGAGTAGGGCCAACCTTCATGAACCTGGCCCTCCCAACCTTGTCATTCCCAGATGTAGCATAGACTCCTCAACAGAACCTCAAGTCTGAATTGAGAATATAGCCTTCTACTGAGCTGAAAGTTTTTGGGCAGATAAACAGAAAAATGAAAGCTGCTATACCTGGCTGGCCCTTTAAGGTCAGAAAATGGTATCCAGAGGAAATCTTAAGGAATGACCCTGGAGTGCTCAGGATAAAAACTAATTTACAGAGCTTCAACATCAATCTACCCATTTTGACAGATCACATCCTGGCTGTTGGTGTGGCTAGCCCTGATGAAGGTACCCTATTTGCCTGTTTAGACTCAGCCCTTGTATGCCTTTTTTGACATGTTGCAATCAGACTGGCTGTGCCTGAGAAAACTACCAACTGGTACCAGTCTGTCCTACACTCAGTTCCACCCAAGGAGTTTTGAATAGAAGCAGCTTGCATCTTACCACTGCCCCCCAACCCCAGGACTTAATGTTCACAACTGGAAGGACCATGCTGTATACTACGTGACCAGCAGCCTTTTTTTTTTTTTTTAAGTGCAGAGTAAGCCTCTACACCTGTGTATATGTCACCATTTTCAGCACTTGAGACCCCTTCTACCAGATCTGAAAGACTACAGCAGATTGAAAGCACTGTCCATTTCTCTCTTCTGCAATAATACAGAGGTGACAGAAATGTTACCAGTTCACCTTGGCAAAGGACTAAAGGAACACAAAAAGAGGTTTCCACTGAAGTTAAAACTTACCACTGACTTCAGTAGCCTCACAGAACTATTTGCCAGTGGGAGGCTTGTCCAGCATCATGTCAGCAAGATGGTTGAGCTCTCAGATTCAAGGCCACTGAGTTTACTTCTGTTGAAACACTATTGCATCATCCAAAGTATGCTATTGGACACAATTATTATATTCAAATGGATTACAAGCTTCCTGGGTACAGGACAAATTTAACTCCTCATGATGTTTTCAGAATACTTTTATTATCAAGAAAGTAACAAATGCCAGCTCTTAGTGAACAGAGACTAAACTTTTTCAGTATCTGGTCATATTGACATCAGTTGTTTTTGATTGACCAGCATCCATTCCATCTCTTTGTAACAACTGTGATGTTCCTTGGAACCACTTTTCCGTATCTTCAGTCCACATGATTCAGACAGTCTGGCCTAACTTTAAGCTTCATGGGTGGACATGTAATTCAGACCTGATGAATCAGCATTGTCCATCTTTTTCACCATAAAGATTTCATTCTGGAATGGTCATGTGATCCAAGTTGGTCCAGTGATACTCAGCCCTAGGACTTTCACTGAACTGTGGAGGAGAAGCTCAGAAGCTCTCTTTACTGAGGTTGCTTGGCTTTGCAGTATGAAAAACTCAAACCAACAGGGCCCACCATATTGAATGAGCCAGAGAATGAAGCCAGTGCAGAGCCAAATGATGGAGAGACTTGAGTCCTGATGACAATGTTTGTGCCCCTGGATCCAACCGTGCCTGAAGCTAGTATATCCCTATGGACTTTTCAGTTATGTGAGCCAATAAATACCCTTTTTTGCTTTAAGTTACTTTGAGTTGGGTTTCTATTGCTTAAAATTGAGTCAGTCCTGACTAGTATACTGTCTACCAACATTGACACTTGACATATTCAAGTATTTATTAAACTGGAGGTCATGGCCACACTGACCTCTGAAACAGGAAGTGACAATGTTTAAGTTAACTACAGAAGCATAAGAAGTACATGGTTGAAAAATACAGAAGAAAACCTAAATGTTTATTGGTAAAGGATTGGTTAAATAACACATGGTTCAGCCATATAAGAAAATCTACATGGCTGTTAAAATTGATAAAATACATTTATTGTGTATGAACATGGAAAAACGGCCATGATATATTACGAGAAGTTGTAGAAAAATACTAGTATAAACTCACTTAAAAATTCATGTTTTATGATGTATAGAAAAGTCTACTAATGGCTTTCTTCAAATAGTGTAGATTCCATGAGACTTTAAACTTTATACATTTCTGTATTTGAATATTTTCCACTACTCATACTACTTTTAAACTTTATTTAAAAATAAAGAATTTTAAAAATTAAATTTAGTACTTACTGTTTGACTTTGGCAAGTTACCACTGTAAGGCAATTTAAAATACCCATCTTCATGTTAGTGAACATTTAGATAAGTATATCCTGTCTTCCCATTAGTGAAGCTGACAAGGTTGCACCTTTTTTGAGGAACTCAACTCAATAATTGATTCTTAATTCTTTCAAGTATATCTCTTTAAATGTCTGAGTTTTTTATTATCAGTGTATCATAGTATCAGTGTTCATCTACTCCAGTTCACAACTGATACTAATTTATTAAGACCTCTTACAGTGTTTACAGTAGGTAGGTAGAAGGAAAAAAATCATGTTTTCTTTGAAATCCTTCAGTATTTTGATAACACAGTCAAGTTCAATAGTGACCTTTTTATTGCTAAGTCTAGTACATAATCTAAACTTTCAGCAGCACAGTCAGCTCCCATTATATATCTTGGCACACTCTTTTTCCCTTAGGTGTTGTGACACTTCTCATTTTCTTCCTGCCTTTCTGGCTATTGCTCCATTGTCAATAGTTTTCTTCTCCCCATCATTTAAATATTAGTGTAATGGCCATTCATTGATTTTTGCCTCCCATTTCCCCTTTTCTTCAGTGAGAAATATCCACTTTTTGTTTGGAATCATATTCCTTTCCATTCTGAGGTTTTAGTTGAACTGTAGATTACAGTATTAAAGGCTTGTAACCCCCCCAGTTGATCATGTGATCCAAGGCTTGTCCAATCAAAATTCCACTCTCACCAAAACTTTGAGTCTTGAGAGAGGTGATGCAAACAAAATCAGGAGGTTAGTCATTTTGATGGTAGTGTCCCAAGGAAACTATACCAGAGTTGGTGCAAGGACATCCCCCATGGTGCCCTGGTTCTGGTTGTGAAGGCCTAGTTATCCAAATTTTCCTTTGATTCTGTAGACTACCATATATCCTTAAAATACATTCCCTTTTCACTTGTTAGCCAAAGCAGGTTTCTCTTGCTTACAGCCAAATGACTGATAACAGAAATTGATACCAGAGAGTTAAATGGGCTTCAAACCTTTAGAAACATGGAAGGTCTGGAATTGAGTCTAACTAGAGGCAGCAAAAACTTGCTTTGTATCCCAGGGTAGTGGGAATAAGCAATTTATATTGGTAAAGGAGCCAGTAAATATACTTCCCCCTTGTCATTTGGAAGCATGTGCCTCTTGAGGCAAAATGTGGATAACGAAGTATCTGTTGACAGTAGGACAATTTGAAATGGATAAGGAAGCCATTGTACAGGCAGTAATCTGCTCATTAATACACACAGGTGTGTTGGTGATGGTTAAAAATGCTACCAGATGCATGTGCAAGGTATGGTTTAAGAAATAAAAGGACAGTATCACCCAGAAATTTTTAAGTTCTCACCTTGGGAAGAAGAATAAACCTTTTTCTACAGTACATTGAACGGAAGTATTTGTAAAATTATTCACGTTGAAGAGTGCATGTCCTGGGCAGCAAAGGGATAGAACGCATTTACCCAACCAGGTGTCTTTTCCCCCTCCTTCGAGAACAGCAGCTCACCTTCATTTTGTGAAGCTGCGCCTCTCCCATGCTACCAGAACATAATATGTAAATGACATTTGAGTTCATGTTACTGAGGTTTCCTCAGTTGCCCAGATTCCTGATTTTCTTAAATGTTAAGCTTCTAAAATTTTTGTAAACTGCCTTCTGTCCTTCCAGTAAATTGCATCGGCTGTGCAGACATCATGATATATATGGCTGTAAACGGTATCCCTTTACAACCACATACAAAGGCCTGGTAGCCAGGGCCAATTTTTGTTACTTATAGTCAGAGAAGCCCAACAAAATAAGTGTCCCTCCTGTGTCTTGGGTCTTCTTAGCCTACTCTGAAGAATTCCCCATTCCCATGGCTTTGGTTTCCAACTATGTTGGTAATTTCAGATTCCTATTTTCAGCCCAGATACATTTCTTGAGCTTGAGATCTGAATGTCCACCTGTCATTTAGATATCCCCTTGCTTGATGAACAGATAATTCACACTGACCCCATCATTTTCCCCTCAAAATCTTTCTTCTAGTGTTCTTTTCTTGATAAATGGCTCCACCCTCCGTGGACTAGAACACAGGAATTATTGTCACTTCCTTCTCTTTTCTGTCACCCCAAACATCCCTATTAGTCATTAAGGTGTATCATGTAAATATACCTTAAAACCATCTACAATCTGTCAGCTTTGTCCAGGGTATCTATTACTAAGACTATTATGATGCCATTCTAGTGTCACTGCCTCTACTGTTGTCCTACTGTAGTCTGTTCTTTGCAGAGCAGCTAGAGTAATCTTTGATACCCAGATCTGATTGTGTTACTCTCCTGCCTAAGACCTTTGAACAGTCCCCCATTGTTTCAGAATAAAATCTAAACTTTTATTCTGAAACTTTATACTTGTTTACAAGGCTCTTCATTATCTGACTCAAGCCTTTCACCACTTCAGACAGCTCAAATTTTGTATGTTGGCTTTTCCTGTAATATTTCATATGAGAACAGGATTCCAAGTTTCTCTTTCCATGAAGTTTCTAAATTAAATCTGATATGTGTTACTGCTATATGAATAGATCTACAGTAAGTGCCTCAAGAGCAACAAGATTCCTGCCTCACAACATAGACAATACCAAAGGGACTGCAAATTCAAATGGTAAAATGAAATATTGGAAGAATTTTTAAGAGACTTTATAATCATATGATGGGGACCATAAGCAAAACAAAATCTAGAAGTTCTCAAGGAAATTATAGACATACTTGACTACATAAACAAATTTGGGGAAAACAAATCTTGGTTCTATAAAAGACTCGAGAGACACATGAAAAATTTCCAACACAAGTGACAGATTGATGATTAATATCCCTAATATACAGAGAGTTCCTACAAAATGATTACTACAAAACAATCATCCCACTTAGCCATCCAGGTGCCCCAAATTTAAATATTTTTAAAGAAGCAATTAAATTGCAATTGGACATTTTCTCATTAGAACATCCAATAGGCAATTCAAGAAATATAAAAGATCAACAATAATAGTCACTAACCACTTACTTAGAGCTTGCTATGTGCTAGACATTGTTTCAGGCACTTTATAAGCACTATTTAATACAACTTATCTTTGGAGATAGCTAATATTATCCCTGTTGTACAGCTAAGGAAACAGGCTCAGAGAAATAAAGTAACTGGTCCAAGTCCTGCAATAGGTGGTCACGTGTTTTGAGATATGACACAAATTCAAGTGGTTTGACTCTTGAGTCCATGCTTCAAACCATTTTTCTTTCTGGCGAATCAATAAGCATATGAAAGTAGATCAAGTGTACACATGGGCAGGGAGATGTAAATCAAAACTGGGTTCCACAGGTCACCTATCATGCAAAATTTCAAACAGCGACAACCTTCAGTGCTGACAAGAATTAGGGTAAAGGAAAACTTTTGTACAGTGTTGGTGGGAATGTGGATTGTTGCAGTCTTCTTAAAAGGTGATCTGGCCATAGCAATTACAATTGTTAAATGCATCTTTTAACCTAGCAGCCCCACGTCGAAGGACTGAATCTCAAAGAACTAAAAGCACTGAGATACAAGGACATCGATGCAAGAAGTTTGCTGTAACATGGCCTGTGGTAGCAGAAAAATGGAAACAGCTTGACAGTCCATCAAAGGGAATGATTGAATCATTTATAGGACAACTACAAGCTGGAGTATTAATGCAGCTATTGAAAAGAATGAGTCAGACCTCTAGGTCTTAATCTGTGCATGTCCATGATATATTTAAGTGAAAAGACAAAGTTATGGAATAACATATATTGTGAACCCATTTTGGTGAAAATAAAACCTACAAATATGTCGATGAATGATCATGAAAGGTGGACACAGACTATTATGGAGTAAACTGAAGAGTTTAAGAAAACTTAATACTTTATATATACTGGCATTGTTTCACTAGTCATGGGAAGCACAAGCCTTTTTTTTTTTTAAGAAAATTTGCTCATTTCTAGATTTAAATATTTTTTTAAAGATTTTATTTATTTATTTGACAGAGAGAGATCACAAGTAGGTAGATAGGCAGGCAGAGAGAGGAGAAAGCAGGCTCCCTGCCAAGCCGAGAATCCTAGGACCCTGAGATCATGACCTGAGCTGAAGTCAGAGGCTCAACCCACTTAGCCATCCAGGTGCCCCAAATTTAAATATTTTTAAAGAAGCAATTAAATTGCAATTGGACATTTTCTCATTAGAACATGCTAATAGAAAAGTAATAAAAAGAACAAAGAATAATGGTTAGTTAGGTCTTACATACTTAGGGTTGCCTTTTTTTTTTAAGATTTTATTTATTTATTTGACAGACAGAGATCACAAGTAGGCAGAGAGAGAGAGAAAGGAGGAAACAGGCTCCCCACTGAGCAGAGAGCCTGATGTGGGGCTCGATGCCAGGACCCTGAGATCATGACCCGAGCCAAAG